TTGATTAAGTTGTTCTCAATGAAAAAGCCCATTTGCAGACAAATAACATGAAATTTTATAAATATAATATGGTGTTTTATGTAAATATTCAATAATATAAATATATCTTGCAAAAAGTAACCCACTCCACCTCACCATACCCTGCTAATGATATATATCTTTTACAATATGATTGCTGCTTAATACTGTGATGTGAATTTAATTTCCTTTTTTACTTGAGTTTTTCATGTGTAACTGTAACCCCAGGTGTACAAGTGGCATTCAAAGGGTAACTTATTATTTATTGAAAATTATTTGTATTCGAAACTATTATATTTTAAAACTATGTCATCTATTTTAATTGAATACCTGTTTAAATTCCAGAAGCAGCTGTAATTTTAACTTATGCTGAAGACTCAAACAAGCCTTCTACAGTGAGATGTCTTGATGGTAATAAAGTTGTAACGAGAAAACCAATAAATAGTAAGTGAAAATTATGTCATTGTTTGATTAATATACTGGAATACTTCCTGAGCCAAGAAACATATATTTATTACTACCTAGTGTTGGAACGAATAGATTTACTGTTTTTTTTTGTTTGCAGATGAAGTTGTGCATTGCACTCCTAAAATGAAAAGAAGACATCGAGTTGTCTCCTTGAGGAAAAAGTTGTCGCCACACTGTGCAAAACTTTACAAAGAATATACGAAATTACAATTTCCATGTCCGAGCTACATGTTATTAATAAGATTTTAAAAGCCACAGTTTGTTAGGTTACAAAAAAAATTATAAGCTTTTAATAAATATAAAACTAAGTTAAAAAATAAGAAAATTAATAAATAATAAGAAAAATATTGTCTTTTTTGTAGCAAACTTCCTTTGACTCCACATTTATTTTTACACATTTTTTAATATAGACTAACCCCCAGGCCAAAACTCAGTTGATAGCCAAAACGCAAATATCCATGGTCAAAAGTATTGCGTATTTATAAAAACAAAAAAAACTGTCATGTATGATTTGTGAGGCTAAATTGTGTCGATTTCTGCTCTCTGGGAGTGCCCTATCTGATGCGTTAGCATCTAATAGTCTGTGCAGAGTATTAATGATTTATTATACTGTCATCGTACTTCCATTAACCTACTATATTTCAAGTCAATCGGATCACTGGAAGGGTTGAAATATTAAAACACAGTCATAAAAATCTTTATTCTCCCTGAAATATGATATATTTATTAATACAAAGCTCTAACACTCAGAAAAAATTCCTTCGATCCGGTCGGATTCGAACCGACGTCTTCGAACCGACGTCTTCTTGCATACCGTGCCAGACTCTATACCAACTAAGCCACGGAACGAACCAACGGACCTCACGAATTCTTCTATGTGCTTGCGTCGTATAGCAAATGGTGCTAAATTTAGTAGGTACCCATCTTTTACTGCCTGTTGCTTCAGCCCATTTCTCCTTCAAAAAGGATCCGGCGGGAAACTAAAAAAATCAATACAAAAACTGCAAATGTAAATCATGCCTGTGATAAAACTAAGTACTCAAGCGGATGAAGGTGATGTATAATATGCAAGTAGGAAGAGAGGAATCATGTAGATAAGGGAAAGAAAATCTCCAATCTCATAAAGTCTTCATTTGATGCTCCACGAACTTACGTGCATTGTAAAATTATCGACACTGTACCTCTTCTATCTATATTTCCTTTTTTTCCGTTAATATATCGTTTTTACTTAAATTGAAAATTTAAATAAACTATTGCGAGTGTTGGGACCAAACATTTAAGTAATCAAAATTGTTAGCTTTTAAATACCTGTAAACAATTTATGTTTACACATTGGTACCGCTATAATAAAAAATGTTGAACTAAACCAAAACCGGGTTTCTAGATACAGAGTTTCTACATATCGATAATTTGATTACAACACACGGACCCAGTACCAAGTGTAATACGACACTAGTGCAAGCAATTCATTGAGCGTCGACGGCTAGCAACCAATGTATATTGTTATTACCGAGTTGCAAGAAAATAGTTTTGTTTCGAAATTATAGTATTGTATTGTTCAAAAATTAGAAAATACAGAGTTTTAGTACTTACCGATGAAATGAAATCACTCTCGGAGTATTTTTTATACTTTGGCTTCTTACGCGACACGATATAATGGCACAATTCTATTTTTTCCACAAAATAATCATGTATCACATATGAACGACGACTGACGTGATGTTGACACTCATATGCCAGTCTGGTGCTAAGCTAGGTAACGCGGACCCCGCCCACTAACCAGTCTATTACAAGTATTTATGTGGTCTGTGGTTTCCACATTCAGTTCTTCTTTTACTTCTTCAGTTTCTGTTGATATTTTATTTGGTAACTGTATGTAGTGTTTCATCTACTATGGAAATTCAACATAGTAGGTAGCAGATTTATTTGATTCTGAGATCTAGCATCAAAACTGCCTTTGTGGTTGAATGGTTACCATGTTGGCCTGACACGCAGAGGTCCCGGGATCGGAACCCGGGCCAGGAGAGATTTTTTATTACCCACATTTATTTCGTGAGTTACGTGTAACTTGTGGTTTATATGTGTGGGTTAGGGTTTCTGCTCGAGATTTCTCGACTCGAGAAATCCCGGGAAATCAGGTCAACTTCGAGACGAGAAAAATGTCCTCAAGAACTCAATTTACGTTTCTAAATTACTGAAAAGTTGACTAATAAATCTTTGCATTTATGCTGCTGATCGTATTCTTTGTATTATCGATTCGATATCGATAGATTTTAGAGTTTAGATGTTTTTATTTTTGTTGGTTCGTGTTGTAAATTTTTCATAAGACACGTCAGTATTTGTAATATTGATTTGTTTGTAATGTGATTTGTTTTATTTTATTCAGTTACAACATTGACCAGTTACAATCAACTGTGTCTGTGTCAAAAATGGCTAAATGTTGATTTTGATTATTTATAAATGTTCCCAAGAATTATGTGGTTCATACTGGTTGATTTAATAATAATAACGTTGATCTCATAAATAAATAAAACATGTTGATTTCATTATAAATTGTGTTTGTTTTTATTTGTATTTATATGTGTGGCGCAATAAATAAGAAAAAAAAATACTTTTAATGGTCAGAAATGAATTTATTGTTTCTCAAAATATTTTCCGTTAGCGTTAATGCACCTTTTCATACGAATGAACCAATTTTGAAAACATTTATGCCACTCCTCCGTGACAATCACTGAAACATATTTTTCATACACTTCGACAGCCTTTTCAGGTAATGAAAATCGTTGACCGCGTAACTGGTTCTTAATTTTTGGAAATAGATAAAAGTCACAAGGTGCCAGGTCGGGACTGTACGCGGAATGGCTCATAAGGTCAACGTCGTTCATTTTCAAAAATTCATTTACCCGTCTGGCCGTGTGTGAACTGCCATTATCGTGGTGCAAGATGATACGGCGCGGGCGTTTACGGTTATTTTTACGGAGTTTGTCAATAACTTCCGACAAACAAATGGTCGTGTACCAATCACTATTCACGGTACAACGATTCTCCAAAGCAACAGTAGCCACGTGTCCAGTTTTATTAAAAAAAAGAAGCAATCATCGGCTTCCATCAATCATCCACTTTGCACGCGCGCCACTTTGGTTGGTTTAGACTCATCTTGAAAGACCCATACGCTCGGTTGCTGCATTGTTTTGGGATCGTAATTATAAATCCATATTTCGTCACCTGTTACTATGTCCCACAACAAATTTGACGCCCCTTCGTTGAATCTGCTAAGCATGGCATTGCACCAAGAGACGCGATCCGTTTTTTGAGCCTCAGTCAAATTGTGTGGGATCCACCGAGAGCACAGCTTTTTCACACCCAAATGTTTGTGTAGTATTGATTGTATTTGAATCATGCCTATGCCTAAAGATGCCCGAATCTCATGATATGTCACATGCCTGTCTGTTTTGATCATACGGCGCACAGCATCGATGTTTTTGTTCACAGCAGTGGACGGGCGTCCATCACGAAATTCGTCACTGAGATTGACACGACCGCGTTTGAATTCTGCAAACCAGCTATAAATAGTCGTCTTGCATGGTGCTTCATCGCCAAAAGCAGTTTGAAGCGAGCGATGCTCCGCTGAGCTGTTAAATTACACTTAAAGTCGTAGAAAATCATACTACGAAAATTTTCACGAGTTAAATCCGTGGTGATGTAGATAACCAATTTCAAATGATGACGCCACAATGTAAAAACAAGTGACAGCCAAATGAGACAAACTGTATTCTACAGCCAAAGAGTTTCATTTTCAAATGTTGTAATTACTTTTTAAATATTGTTTATATATAAGTGGGCAGTTCCGGAAACTTATAGTGCGCCCTATGTAGTTGATAAGCTATTTTTTTAAATTTCAAAAAAATATCTCGAAGAACTCAAGAAACCCGGGAAACCGGGCTCGGGAATTCCCGAAGCTCGAAAAAAACATGTCGATAAATCAGAAACCTAAGTGTGGGTCCATGGTACCCGCGATACATTTTCCTATGGTGTACGTTATTGTTATTATTATTACCTTTAAGCTCAACTCAGGGTCGAAGCGTCGCGATACGTCATGTTTTTCGCCTATAACAGATTCATCTCTATTTTCCCATTGTTAAGGTACAAATTTGTGTTATGCAAACATGGAGTCGCGTGTCGACGCTTGGTTGCAATAGATCGGCTTCGCGCGTCGACGCGCGTTACTTGAGCCTAGTGAGGCGTCAGACGCCGAACACTGTGATCCGGATGCACTAATGCGAACGTCGCGTGTCGCCAGGCGTTGTAGTTGAAAAACAGGACGCGACACGACGCTTCGACTCTGTGCCAGTGTGAGTTGAGTCTTAGGGTCGTATTCCAAAACTCTACTCAATGCTCTAGTCAGAACTTGAGAATGATTTGCAGCACTGAAAATCATACTAAAGTCCTTGCCATTAGAGTGGCATTGATGAATATGTAGTAATAATAAACTTTATACTCTTATTTTTTTACAGATTTGATGGAAGAGTCGTAGCTAAGCTTCCATTCCACCCTATCTCATGGATTCAGGGATTAAGTCATAGAAACTTGCCAGGAGATAATTACACTGATTGTTCTTTCATATTTTTGTACATATTGTGTACTATGAGTATTAGGTAATGATATAGTAGTTTTAATCTCATTATATGATTTCACTATTTCACTATATGAAGAGAATTAATTTCTGTAATGGAAGGGATTGTGAATAAATTATAGTTTTTCTGTACGAAAATTATAAATGAAGCCAGGTGACAGAAACCTGTTTGCCCTTAAGCTCAGTAAGCTGGGATATAACTTGATTGTAATCTAAATCGTCTTTACTCTCTTCACAGGCAAAACATCCAGAAGCTATTAGGATTTGCACCATCCCGTGTAGCATCGAAGCAAGGAGGAGCACTCTTTGCTGCCCCCCCTACTCAGTTCAAGTAACATCTAGAGTTGTATGTTAATAATGCATTTGTGTGTGATTTAATTTATCGTTGTACATTGTTCTACTTTTGAGTGTATGCAAATGGTTAATAAATAAACCACTGGTTCAATAAATAAACTACTTTATTTAAATAATTCAATACACATTAAACTCTATCATTGGGTTACCTGTTAAAATTCTATCAAATGTTAATCTAGTTAAATCGATAGTCATGAAATTACTGTCTATAATTAATTCTGCAATGGCTCTTCCAATGCCAGCTGCATGGACACACCCTGAAAATAATTAATTCAGTTATTAAATACGATAGTTTGAAATTTAAATTCACAATCATAGAAATCTAAATAAATAGGCACATTTTAGATTTGTGTTCACAACAATTGATTAAAAAAAAAACATTTACATGGCAATTAATAATGCCTCTTTCACTGAATATGATATTCCCAAGACAGTTCACAAAATATCATTTTCGGTGTATTAAGTATATTTATTTTAGGTGTATTTATGGTGTATTAAGAACGTAATATCTTGAGAATGTGATATCTTGCGAAAATGATATTTTGTGAACGTGATGTCTTGAGAATATCATGTTTTGCGAACATGATATTTTACGAATATGATATTCAGCGACAGAATTTTAATAATAATGTACCAGACAACCACGCCAATTATCTAGTCTGAAACTAGGGAATTCCCTGTACTAAGAGTACCAGAACAACTTAATTGAACATGAAAAGTAAATGGTATATTTCACCTAATCTTCCAAATCCAGCAGCAATGTAGAGATTATTATGGTATGGGTGTGGACCCACTACTCCAGAATCATCAAAGGTATTGTAATCATACTTTTCACACACCACACTTCTTATCTGGAAATTATAAGTTATTTACAGTATGTACAAAATAGAAAGTTAATTAATAACTCCGACACACGGCAAGGCAGAGGACATTAAATTTATGTAATGTACATATTTTCCTAATATTTCAATCGAAATAAGGTACATAACGCCGTAATGACCCGCACTCGAAGCGAGCAAAATTTTGCCGCGCTCGACTTCTGGCGGTGCTAGCCGTACACCACCGCTTCCACGCTTCCCACGTTTCGTACCAAAAAAGATAGCAGAGACCGCCGTTCGCGTTACACGCACCGTGCTAGTTTTTATCATAGCTGACATGTAGCAATAAAATTCGTGTAAGAACTTCAATATTTCCGTGATTAGTGTTTTTAACATTATTGGAGTATTACAATGGCGCCCTAGAACTAGAAGCTTTCGAGCCCTCGACAAAAGTTCAGCGACGCTTTCAGTTCATTGACCTTTTTTTCTTCGTTGCACGGCTTACTGCTGTATGGATAATGCCACGCCTGTCGAAAAACACCGACCACGACGAGAGTCTTGGACAAAATACTGTCGGCGATAAACACAACACTTTCTGTTGCCCCCGCAGCAGAGAGATATCCATGAGGATTTCCCATCATGTCGGACTCCTACCGACTAAAAGCCCACGGTGTTCCGTCCCTGCACCTTTTGCTGGGACTACGGGAACGCTTTCGCACTCTTCCGCGGTCCCGATGGTGCTGTTGAGGTGGAGCTGGAGAGACACCACCCCATTCATCACTTACAGGGGCACTTAGGAACACCGCGCGGGCCACCTCGGGGTCTATACATTACGGGCGGCGGACGCCCCCGCATCCACCGCCAAAATCCCTGTTACGGGGGTTGAAGGAGGGCATGACAGTGCCTCCTCGGACGCCCTGCTCTACTGCGGCGGATTGGAAGAAGAGTGGTGGCCTCCCGCTCCGCAGCTTCCTTCTGCGACATTACGCGTTCGCAGAAGGATACTACCTCCGTCCACGACCTGTCACTTTCCAGCATTGATTTGATCATTGCAGGGAGTGACAGGTTGTACACCACTGCGGCAACAAGTTCACGGCGCTCATTGGCCCAGGCTGGGCACACCTGCAGCGTGTGCTGTGCCGTGTCTTCACAGCAGCCACAGTGGTGACATTCGGTTGTCGGTTCCCTCCTGGTTTTATGACACAGGTACTTTCCGAAGCAACCATGCCCGGAAAGCACCTGGACCAGCCGGAAAGTCAAGGACCCATGCGCCTTGTCCATCCAGTTCTCAAAATGCGAATGCGAATTCTCCGATGCGAGTCTCACCGATAGTGATATGAGAACCCCGTGGCGGCGCCCGCCGAGGGCCATGAAAGCACATGGCCTCCGACTTGTTAAGCGCCACCTGGAGTCCTAATATCTCTATTCTACCGACAACCTGTGCCACCGCCTCCGTGGCAGGACGGGCAGCGTCCGCGAAGGTCTCATCTCGTACCATCATCTGCGTAACAGATCACGCTGGCGCCCGGAAGATCTCCCCGTAACACCCAATCGAATCCGATGTTCCACAGGAGCGGTTCTAGCACCGACCCCTGCGGGACCCCGCACGACATTACCATTTGCAACAACCGCCCCGCCGCCCAGGGTATGAAATGTACCTCTCAGACAAGTAGGCCCCGACGATCCCACGTAGGCAGGGAGGCACCTCATGGTACTTCAGTGCTCCCTCAACGCAACCCCACGGCAAGAAATTGAAAGCGTTAGCGATGTCTAGAGACACCGCCAGCATTACCCCGCCATGGTTTACCACTTCTTCTGAACAGGCCTTGACGCGAATGATAGCGTCAATCGTTGACCGTCCTACCCGAAAACCGAACTGATGGTCGGATAAGTCGGGACCCTCTCTGTCGCTCTCTGAGCGAGAGATAACAGCCTATTGCTTCCCCACCGTACAGATTGACACAAAACAAGGCGATTTTTGGAAATAGAACTGAAAAAGCTCCTTGAAGCTGATGTAATTGAAGAATGCGAATCACCTTGGACAGCTGACATTGTACTTGTAGCAAAAAAGGATGGAGGATTCTGCTTATGTGTGGACTACTGCAAGCTCAATGCCGTGCGGAACCTGACCGCTACCCACTACCCGGGATAGAAGATGTTCTTCATGCAGCTAAATTAACTAATTTTATAACCACCTGCGATTTAAGATCTGGCTACTTCCAGGTGAGCGTGGCACCCGAGGACATCGATAAAATTGCACCACTGGGCACTTACAAATTTAAAAGGATCCCATGGGACTAAGAAACTCCGGAGCCACCTTCCAAAGACTCATAGATTTCCAATCTGGTAAGACACTTTCTGATGTTTCACTCCTGGCTTATCTGGACGATATTATCACTCTCTCGGAGACATTTGAGAAACACCTGCAAGACCTGGACGCGGTATTTACCCGCCTGGAGTTGTTCAACCTGCGTATAAATAAACCAAGGAAAAGTTTCTTTGCGCGTGAGTCAGTCAAGTTTCTAGGCCACATAATTCTTCCAGGTGGAATCCAAGCCGATCCCAAGAAGGCTGCCGCCATTACAAGTATGTCTGCATCCTAGAACGCCAAACATTTCAAAACTTTCCTGCAGACGTCGAGCTGGTTCCGGCGCTTCATACCGAACTACGCCGAGGTCGCCAGACCTTTAACAGACCTGCTGAAAAAGGACAGTACGTGGATGTGGGCTGCCAGACAACAGGAAGCTTTCGAGATCTCTCCAGCTATTTTGCATCAAGCCGACGAAACGAAACCGTTCATACTGCGGACAGACAGCAGTGGCTACTGCCTAGGAGCCGTATTGATGCAGGGGGAAAGGCACGATGAGCGCCCGGTAGAGTATGCCAGCCGATTACTAATCAGCGCCGAGAGAAACTACACCACAACCGAAAGGGAAGCATTGGCTGTAGTCTAGGTTGTGAATAAGTTCCGTGGCTATATAGAAGGGTCTAAAGTTGTAGTCAAGTCAGATCACCAACCTCTTCGCTAGCTCATGAGTATCAAATCTCCCAGTGACCGTCTAGCTAGATGGCCGCTAACTCTGTAGGAATGCAACTTGAAGATCGAATACACGCCAGGCAGATCCAACGCTATCGCCGACACGCTTTCCCGCCCGCTGCGTGCTCAGAGGAACCAAAGTGTGACCTCTCTACGCTGAAATTGATTTGCCATCGAGAAGTCCTTATGACGTACGAGAAAATCAGCTCAAAGATCCCGAGCTCCTGAAGATTATCCCGGAATTTGAAGCCGCCAACGATCCATTTAGGGGGAGAAATTGGGCAGACCGAGGTTGCACTATGTCCGATGGGATTCTGTACAGGTATGGACCGGAACATGAGGACGAAGAAGCAGCCTGTATCGTTGTTCCGTCTCACGAACGTGAGAAGGTCCTGGCTGAGTACCATGACGCTCCGACTACTGGACATTTTGGAGTCGAGAGGGCACTACACCGGTTGAGCACATAATGTTACTGGCCAGGGATGCGCCAGTACATCGCCGAGTATCTCAAGAAATGTGTACCCTGTCAACGATACAAGTCGATACCAGAAAAGCCGTTGGTCTGTTCCAGACACCTGCAACTACCCGCCGTTTCGAAGTCGTTGCCGTGCATCTTTTCGGACCACTACAAGAAACACCTGGAAAAACAAATAGATATTAATAGTAGAAGATATATATGTACACGTTGGGTCGAATTATTCGCTCAGCAAAGTGCCACCAGCGTTGACTGCGCTAAAACGTTAATCGCTGAAATTTTCCTGAGGTATGGAGTGCCCAGGCGTGTTCTCAGCGACAGCGGTGTGCAATTCATAAGTGAAGTGATGCAACAGGTGTGTCATACGTTTGGAATAACTCTCACTCCGAGGTACCATCCGGAAGCCAACCTAGTTGAGAAAAAATCGAGACCTGAACCCGCATCTGGCTATCCTTGTAAAACAAGACCACACTTCGTGGGACACTCATCCGACAGCCATCCTCTTCGCCATGAATTCTGCAATCACCAATAGCACTGGTCATTCACCAGCTTACTTAATGTTCGAACGCGAGATACGCGCCCCAGCTGATGTTTTGATAGATATGAGAACCATCATCGATAGCGACAATGTAGTGACCAGCATTACAACATATTTACAAAAACTCTTCTCTTCACGACACTCCTGGAAGCCCTAGATGTACACGAGAAGGTCCAGGCAACCCAAAAACGTTATGTTGACGAAACACGACGACATGACCCAGACTACGCTCTGGGAGACCCTAGTGCTACTAAAAACTCAAGGGCCAAATGACGCTGGCAAAGGTCGGACACCTAAGTTCACATTCCCAAGCGCGATGGACCGTATAGGATTCGAGAAGTTACTAGCGCAACAACATATAATCTTGAGATAACTAGTAGTGGTGAACTTTTAGGCAAATATTTATTTAACTTAACTTTATATTTAATTTATTGACCACAACACAGAATGGTACAAAAGGCGAACTTAATGCTAAAAGCATTCTCTACCAGTCAACCTTTGAGGAAAACGAAATTCACGAATAAATAACGCATAATAAATAAATAAATAACGCACACACTCAACATAGCCCCGCACTAGGGAAACCCTGTGTCGCGGGTGCCATGGACACACATAGACAACCACAAATTACACCCAAACTCACGAGAGAAATAATTGTAGGCCATACAACTATTTCTCCCGGCCCGGGAATCGAACCTGGGACCTCTGCGTGGCAGTCCGGCATGGTATCCGTTCGGCTACGGGGGCAGTTATACGAATGCGGCGAATTAAACAAAATATTAAATTAATAATTTAATAATAACACAAATATATAATCCAATATATAACAAACAAACCTAACATATACATATTATATGTATACATAATACATATATTTATAACTAGTACATACAATAACAGAAGAAGATGATGATGATGATTATCGCTGTGACAAACAATTTAAAAGATGCTCATGGACATTCTTTTTGAAAGAGGATAAACCAGGAGATCTTCTGATGGACTCTGGGAGAGCATTCCAGAGACGTGTTGAGTGGAGAGTGAAGGAATCAGACATGAAGCCAGATTGAAAAAGGCGTATAGAGAGTACAAGAGAGTCAATGGATCGAAGAAGATATCTGTGTGATTCTCATGACCCATGAGAATCACACAGATACTGAAATTTACATTTCAAGTATTCTGGATAGTAAGGATTGAAAAGAATGGAGTGCAACGTGCAGAGTAGTCTCTTCTGCCTGCGTAGACGGATAGGGAGCCATTTAAGTTGAGCCCTGAAAGAGGAAACATGATCAAATTTGCGAAGGCAGAAGATGAAACGGATAGCATTATTGAGAAGGCGGTCAAGCCTACCTAATAGATCTTCATTAAGATCAGGGTAATGGACATCAGCGTAATCAATGAGTGGGAATATAAGGGAGGTGACAAGTAAGATTTTAGTACTAATAGGAAGAATGTTCCGAAAGCGGTTGAGAAAACGTAATCGGATACCTGTGAGGTCCAACTTAGTGGGAAATCAATGTAGAGGCCAAAGTTATTAACACTAAAGTTGAAAGGAACAGACGAGTTCTCATATACTATATGACGGAGTGAACTATAGTCAATCTTGGATATCTGTTTGGATCCACCTAAGACAATAGCTTGACATTTCAATGGATTGACAGATATCCCAAAATTAGTTGACCGTAGACTAACGCATCGTAGCTCGCGGGTAATCTGAGAAATCGCCGAATTGACGTCCTCAGCAGAAGCCTGCGCGTAAATCTGCAAGTCATCGGCATAAAAATAGTAAGAGCAGTTAAATGAGAAAGAAAGAAAATTAAGGGAGAACAAAAGTGGTGACAGATTTCCACTCTGCGGAACACCAGCCGTTAAATCATGCCAGTCGGAAACTTTCGGTCCCACGTGATATGCTTACTAGCACTCACGAAGGTAGGGCGAGAACCAGTTCACTGATAACGGTGAGAAGTTAAGAGACTTCAGGATGGCAAGTAGAATGTCGTGGTCTACCATGTTAAAGGCGTTGGAGAAGTCGACAAGTACGATGGCAGTGACCAGCTGCTTCTCCATGTCCAACCTGATGTCTTCAATAACTTTAAGTAAGTAAGGTTGTCGTATCATGTCCCGGGCGAAACTCGGATTGAAAAGGCGAAAGAAGGTTATTAGAAAAAAATATCACGTTTCACAGCTGACCCCATTCGTAGGTGACGTACTACTGCCGCTACACGAGAAGCGCAGGCGCGGTAGGCCGAGTAAAATGTAACTACCCATGTACGGGCCGCTTTATCTGGGTTGTAGGGGGAGGATATAACGCCGTAATAACCCGCTCTCAAAGCGAGCAAAATTTTGCCGCCCTCGGCCTGTGTCGGCGCTGGCCGTACACCACCATTTCCTCGCCTCCCGCGTTTCGTACCAAAAAAGATGGCAGAGACCCCCGTTCGCCTCTCAAGCGCCGTGCTAGTTTTTTTTATCATAGCCTGACATATAGCAATAAAATTCCTGTCACAACTTTAATATTTCCGTCATTAAAGTGTTTTTAACATTATTAAAGTTTTACAGGTATAAATTTCAATACTCTGAGATCGACCTCGAAGCAGCGTATTTCACTTTGCAGCATTGACGAGCACGCTATCAAAAACATTTTTGTAAATGGTTTTTTATTACTAAATATTAAAGCTGTAACAAAAAAAGTTTGAAACGTAAATAGCATTCATATACAGATATAAAAATCATGTATATTTTTTTCTATAAAAGGGATTTTGATTATTGTTTTCTCTAGAAGTTTTCATAGCAAACATACTGGAATTGTTTTCACTGGAAGTAACCTTCCAGAGAAAACAAAAATTAATATCACAGTTTGCTAAAAACAATATGGAATTGAATATTTTCGCAAACTACACGTATTGATCTTGTGTAAGATAAGTACTGATTTAAGTATCATTTTCGCAAACTACAGGTATTGATCTTGTGTAAGATAAGTACTGATTTAAGTATCATTTAGTACCAAAATCATACGCTACAGCAGTGAAATAACTAATTGCATTGAGTCAATGAATAATCATTGACTCAATGCAATTAGTAAGTAAAGGGTCAAACAAGACTCAGCCAAAAAAAAAAGACAAACAACAACCAGCAGCAAATTCAATCTCTGGTCACTTTTGTGGAGTGTATGAGGATTATTTATGATTTTGTACATTTGGCAATAACTGTTTAGTGATTATAAAGTTAATTAAATGCATTGCCTTCATCATTTATTGGTAACTTATTACATGTACCGTAACACATGGGCACAGGTCTCCCATACAGTGAGGGTTTAGACCCTTATTTGAACCGTAAACCTCTCAATTGAGAAGCAACCATCCTCATACCATCCTACCACTGCTTTTAACACCATTAATTGTTTTTATTACCTTAGTATCTTTAAAATTAGGTACTCTGTTGATTAGTGCAGGCTTCACAATTTTCTCATAGTATTCATCACCATCAGACTCTTTAACATCAGCTGTTAGCAAAGGAATGTGGCCACAGAGAAGTTTGTCTTGCAGGCCATTCTTCTGTAGCCATAGACCACTGGTATCAGATATCATGGGAGTGCTTAGACTGGACATTGTTCCATTATCTTCTAATGAATAGACTTTTTCCTCTCTGTAAAATGTAATTGTATCACTGAATATGTTACAGTAATTAATTTACTGGTAGCCATTTTTGTCATAAAATAAATGGTCAGATCTTGAACATCTCTAGATATGTGACACAATCCAATATAGTTCTTTACCTTCCCTCTATTGGCAAAGGTATGCCAAGTAACCCTTCACCAGTTCCAATTTTTGCTAGTCTTGCAATTTCTCCACATTTGTCACCAGCTGCTAATACACAACCAGCAAATTTAATACCATATTCTTCATTATCTGGTGTTTTGTACAATACCCTTTTTATTCTCTTGAAAGTTCCAGGCTTTACACCCTCCACTAAGAGATCTCTCTGTAGTTCTAATTCAAAACCAATGACTTCTGCATTTATATAAATTGCTCCTAGATCTACAGATTTTTTAATTAAACTCTTCAATAACATCCAAGCGTTGAAAGTGCCTTCACATTCTCTACCAATGCAACCTAGAAACAAGAATATATGTACAGACTTAAAGTTACGTAAAGTTTCTAAAATTAAACATAGGATAAATAAATATAATACTATAAAGGTGGAGGCTGTTTTACCTATGCTAATATCTTCGGTATTTAAATATGGGAATCGCATCTTTATGTCCTCAACTGTGAGTAGTTCATTTTTTACTCCATACTCTCTCTGAATTTGTATATTGTGTTCTAATCTCTCTGCGTACTGCTCACTTGCTAAGACCAAATGCCCATGTGGGCAATATTGCAAGTCTACTTTTTTATTTAAATGTTGGGAGAAGTTCCGTAAAAACTCTGCTCCATATTGAGCAAGCAGTATATTTTCAGGCAGTGCAAAGTGTTGCGTTATCGTTCCTAGTGATAGATTTTTCTGTGCCGACTTGAACTGAAAATAAAAAAATAACTGAAAAATATATTTACAAAAATATTTCAAACATAATATTTTGAAGCACTTGCTTCAGGCAACTTACCATTGGATCATTTTCTAACACTACTACTGCCAAGCCTTCGCCGGCTTTCACTTTGAGCCAGTATGCAACAGCAGTGCCTATGAAGCCTCCACCAATAATAACAATATCTGCATGCTCGGGAAATACTACTTCTTTCTTGTTTATGCCAAGAAACTCCGGCACCTCTTTCGAAAGTACCCCCCACGTCCTTGTAAAAGGATTTTTAGTGTCTTTTGAATAACTGCGACACCTAAATGGAAATTTTGCGACCCGGTATAACCTCTCCCATGTTTTTAGTGAAGTAATCATAGTAATAAATTTTATTACTGCATGTAACTATTAATTAGCATTCCACACTATCAAGTACGTTAAATTGTAATTAATTGCTAATTTGTAACAATACTTTCAAATTATTTTAACTTTGCGATCCTTTTCACAATAACAGCCGTCAATGGTTAATGCACACAACAGACTGTCAATGTCATGTGTGTTTAGAGGTGGGCGTTTAAACGAAAAGCACTTAATAAAGTCTGCTTTTCAAAATAAGCGCATAAGCACGCTTTTCGCCATGTCCGGGACGGGCCCGCAGTTCATACAAATTAACACGCCCCGTCCACGTCCCGGGCACGGCCTGGATATGTGTGGCTTTAAACGTTTTTCTAAACGACTTTTTAAGCGTTAAGGTGAAAAGGTAAGCACTTTTATAAGCACAATTTTTAAACGTACGTAAAGTTAAAAAATAAGCAGTTTTTTCCATTTCAACGAATAACAACTACAAAAGTTAAACAACTTATGTTTTTGAACGCTTTTAAACGCCAATGAACAAAATGTTATTATAATAATGTTATGTCATAATAAAAATATAACTCGTTTTTTGTAAAAATAACTTACTTATCATAGGGTCGTATTCTAGAACTCTACTCAATGCTCAAGTCAGGATTTGAGTATGACCATAAAGTGAGTATCAACATAAAGCACTCGAAATCATACTCAAGTCCCTGCCATTAGGGTCGTATTTCCAGAGCTTGTGTTGCCAGTGCAATCCTGACTTGAGCATTGAATAGAGTTCTAGAATACGACCCTAAGGTAATCTACGCTTATTTAGCTATCAAACGAGATCAAAATGAATCACCTATAACAATTATTTTAGGCAAAGTAAATACATAACAAAAATCTATTCACTCCACTCCTTGAATAAAATGTGGTCATCAATATAAATACGGCCGCCTTTTCTAGATAGCTGTTGCTCTTTTATAATATTCACAATATCGGCTTTATTAACTTGACATGTCTCAACGTTAGAGGGCCAAGACCAACCTCCTAAAAAGCTTTTTTGGAGCACTGAGGCAGTAATTTCCTAAGGAGTAACTTTTAGAACTCTCCCTGGAAACAGACTACCCTCTTCTCTAAAAACACAGTCAAACACATTCAAAGTTACCCAAATTTCTCTGTTCGGTAACGTCGTCAAAATCTAATTCGTTTTACGCGTAAATACAAAACCAAATTAAATTATTCTTTAAATAAGTGATATATAAACCTCTACTTAAGTGTGGAAACCAAAACTTACCAGTCAATATTCAGATTTATATATTTAATTCCGATTCTAAAACTGAGCAACAAATCACACCAAACTACTTTCGCCAAGAAAAAACCGCGAAAGTTTAAAAAAATACAATTTAACATTACTTTTTTCTTTCATATCTTTCGTTTAACAATTTTGTTCCGATTTACACAGTTTCAATACTAAAAATAAAAGATTGTCATACATAAAATAAATTTTTAAATCTTTTACGCAACTACGTTCAAAATTACACCACGATTCAAAGTTACCCGAATTGACTGTAGTATACTTATTTGATATGCTACTTCATAATAGAAGGTTTCATAGTTGATATAATTTGTTTGTATTATTACAGTAAAATCATACTACCTTTAAGCTAATTTTATTTAGCCAAAATTAAAAAATTTAATACACTAAACTCTGAGATATAGTCGAAGTCCAAAAATGTAAACAAATAACACCAGCTGTCAAAGTGACATCTCATAGACCATAAACCTTTTTTTCCACGTTCGTTTATTAACAGGTTCCACTGTATTGTGACTAATAAACTATAATTGATTATTACCCTTTTGGGTTGAACAATTTACAAAACTGTTTAGAAACATTTTGTGTCATAAAATAATTTCAATTAAAAAAATACCAGGAAATGAGAAAGGTCACTTAATTAAATATAAAAAATAAAAGGAAAATTATGCAAAAGAAACTTCTTAGAATATTCTTTATATTGGTAACATAAACTATGTTTTCTATATCAGTGGCTAAAGTGTTAAATATTGACTTTTGTTTTTACTCAGGCAAATTAGGAACAAATAACGTATTTTCATGTATAAACAAAAGCTTATCAGTTTTTGTTCGCTATTATTCAAAAATGTATTATAAGAGAGTACAAAGACAGGACAGATGTTAGTATAATGTTATCTGTAATTGCTATTGTTCTCGCTATTTGACATACAAAGAAAGATTTTAGAAATGAAAAAATAACGGGTCGAAGCTTTTGCGCCACCTACAAGCTTTATACTTTTTCAAATTAGTTTTTTAACATTAAAGGACAAAAACTGTGGCATAGGTACTATTATACATGAAAATACATGATATGCAATAAAGTATTGAGTACCTACATCATCTGATCCTATTTTTTTGCAAATTTAACCTTGATCTTCCGATACGTCATCGATAAGATGGTCTAGCTGCATCATTTTGTTCTCTTCTTTTATTATGTGCTGAACACAATCACTCCATCTCTGTGGTGTCACCAATTGTAGACCTTCGAACAATTGTCTCACTTCGTTCATTTTGAAGGTCTTATTGTTCCTAGCAACGTGCCCCTTTACTTGCGCCCAAACCAATTCGATGGGATTTAATTCGCAGTGGTAAGGGGGCAGTCGCAGAATGGTGACACCGTGTTCAGCAGCCAACTTTTCCACGGCTAATTGTTGATAATTAGATTTTTCTTTATTGACTATTTCTAATAGTTCAGCTTTGACCATGCTGTCTTCGAATGTAATATTCTTTGATTTCATCCATTCTTGAATATTGCTTTTCCGCCAGGCAGAAGAAGGGGTCTGTTCTAGCTTTCGAGAATGGTAGGGGGCATTATCTAAAACTAAGACCGAGTTCTCTTTCAATCTCGGTAAAATACCCCTTAACCACTCCTCGAAATGCTCGGAATTCATTTCATCGTGGTAATCTTCGGTTTTCTTTTTTGATTCGAAAATCAGCAAACCACCGTCTACAAAACCCTCTTCACTGCCCACGTGTGATATTATTAATCGCTTTCCCTTTCCTACTGGATTTTTTAGCCCTGTTGTGAGCCCTTCGAGGAAGGCTTCTCTTGACGATTTGATCTTCGTATCAACCCATGTCTTCTTAACCGCGTGCCCTGCAAATAAAGCAATGATCAATTACTTGATTATTATCTATGAAACATTAAAAAACAAAATGGCGATCAAAATTTTCTTTTTATTCCATATCATAATAAATGTCATTGACTAAACGGGAATGAAAATTACCTTCGTTAATCCAAGTTTCGTCTTGATAATATATAAATCTCCCTTCATTGCAATATTGCTTGATCGTCATTAAATATCGTTTTCGCCACAGTACGATGTCTTGCCGGTCAATCAAACAACTGCGGCGCGTGCGGGTAGCATACTTGAAATTCAAATGTTTCAGCACTTTTCTCATAGTATAGGATGAAAAATCAGGCATATCAGAATCGTCGTTTACAGCTTGGACTATCTAAAAATACACATACAAACATTAAAAAACTTAATACTGAATAGACTGAGATAAAATAATCTTGAATTTAGCAGCATTCCTTTTTTCAAATCGTTTCAAACCATATTAGCACAGATTGCTTGTATTAATGATAAATACCAGTTAATTTAACTCTTATCAAATCTTTAGAATCTTATTGATTTATTTTGAATTAGTATTCAGATAATTATCTTTAATAATTCCGGTACAATATACTGACCTTTTTAATTGTCGGGCTCTCGTTTCTATAAAAAAATTCATGTACTTTTCTTCTAATGGCAGAAAAGGTGAATTCATCAAGTTTGTTTAGTATATCGGTCTTCGGCCCACTTTTTTCGGGCGATTTAAATTCTTCTCCAGCTTGATTTTCCATCACTATTCTCCGGACGGTTTTTTTAGATATACCCAGAATCTCAGCTGTTTTGTTGGCACAGTTGCACAAAGACCAATATTCATTTTGTGGCCAGGTATTAAATGTATGCTTGTAGACATTCATTACCATAACCTTCTCGGTTACAGACATTGCAAGGCGTGGTCTTTTTTTCGGCGGTGAAAGAGTGTCTTTTTTTGTTGAAGGACCTGGTTCTGCCTCCATTGTAGTTATGTTTACACGAACGCAAGCAAACACAAACGTAACAACAGAGTAAAACCAAAACTTGACAAAAAAAAAATAACACAAAACGAAAACTCAACAATAAAAAAAAACTCAACAATATGACGCATACACAGCAAGGGACACATTCGATAACGACAGCCGGCCGTCAGAAACCGAATGAAGAAAAATGCGGTGATGCACTGGTGGGGATGCACCCCGACGCCTTGACCCGTTATCCATCGCTATCGATCGAATACTGACTTTTCATTTTTCATTTCATTATAATATTAACACTAATAACAATTATCCAATTTATTATTCACACTTCTACTTATAAGTATTTGTGTTTATACATAAAAAAAATCGAATAAACATTAAGGACAGCCAAAGGTTGTTCATCCCCGAAACATTGCCAATAGGATAAAAAATCTTTCCACAAGAAACAGTTTTTTGAGATTATCTTATTAATTATGGTGTTTTAAATAAAAAATATAATTCGATAATATTTTGTTTGTACATGCACACAATTTATAAATAATATGAAACATCTAGCATTAATTTTTAGCCGTTTTCACTGTTCCACAATTCGTGGAATATTTTTTGTAACGGCATCACCTTTGTTTACATTTTTGGACTTTATTTTATTTAGCCTTAGCAACTTGTTAGACAAGGACAGACCACTACTTCGAGCTATCTCGCATAGCTCGGTTTTTACTTTTATTTAAAATAAACCTTAACATAACCCAATAAGGTGTAAGTTTGTAATATTGATATATCGAAGTGCGCGATCCAGTTTATGAAATATATAAATCCGTGTAGTGAAATATATAAATTGTATTTGGTGTCAATTTCAATAGTAAAATCTAATGACTAAAATCTAATAAATTCCATAGTTTTAAAAGTGGTTACATAATAATGATAAAATCACAAACGTTATTTAAAAAAAAGCAAATGTTTTGTAATAATTTTTACGAAAATGATATGGATAAATATTATAAAACACCGAAAGTATATTTGTCACTGGTTGTTTACTTTTTTCTGAAATAAATTAAACTTTAAAAAAAATCCATGACATGATTACTTACCACATATTTTTGAACACAACACAAAGTAGGTACTTGTTTTTGGAATATCTAATATTATGTATATCTAATATTATTATATATCTAATATTATTATATATATTACATATATATATATTCGAAAATTAACAAACGTTTACATTTCATTGCACGCGACGCCTACGTATATACAATGGTATAAAAATACTTACATTATCTTCAGTGTCTATAGTGCGTTCGCAGCCATACACTGAGCCCAAGAAATTTTCCAAGGCGGTATATACGAACCATATAGATTCATACACATCTTCCACCTCCATACCCGAAGATACGCACGAAAATTTTCCATTAACTTCTTCGCTTTCAACCCATTGACTGGTAATTTTATAATATTAATACGGTTCCATGCATCGTTAACTTTGTGTTTAATTTTGTGGTTTGGATGTTTTGGGTTTCAAATGAGTTCTTCGGTTTCATACATATAGTTCTAGAAAATACAAGACCCGCGCATTACTCCAATCCATTTTATACCTACGTATTATCGCTTTGAGAGCTAGCAGTTTATTTATATATAAAGTACTCTGTGGTTTATCTGAAGCGGGGCGAATAAGGAAATGGCAAGCTTTTGAAGTTACAACTACAGTCTTTACAAAGATTATTAATTTTATTTTAAGTATATTATGACGAAAAAAACGAAAAAAGAAATAGCGATGAAGAAAGTTAGAACTATATTCCTTAACTGAAACCAAATTACAAAAGACTTTATCATGAAAATTCCACTAATTACGAATTCAAAGTTTTTGTTCAAAGTGATAGAAGATAATATGATCTATTTGAAAGTGAAAACATAAATATTGACTACTGCCGCTTAAAAGACTATGTAAAAAACAGAATAAGTGAACTAAGTTTTTTAAGAGAAATTGAAAACAGTCTATTAGATAATTGTAAGTCAATGATTAGAACTACAATGGAAAATATTACTGAGTATCCGACAATTAAACGAAGACATGACTCAAAGGACTTGTATCTAAGTCAAAACCATTAATAAATAAAGGGACGAATAAGTAATGTTGCCCCAGGAGGAAGTAGTTAAACTTTAAGTAAAAAAGTTGCTAGATTCCAAGAAATTAATTCTGGGTAAAATTGCCTAAAGTGGCTGAACAAAAACTTGCGTTTTTAAATACATATTTTTCTTAATTTTACAAATTATAAATCGAAAAAATAATTATCATCAATAGCAATCAAATCATTATCATCTTGTGATGTTGAAGGTTAAGCTTTATTTTCTTTTTTTTTCGATTTTTTACTTTTCTTACTAAAAGAGCAAGTCAATGAAAAGAGCTAAAAGATTTTACTATCAATTATTTTGTTTTGTACCTAATAATTTCGTAAATCCGAATAAATCTATATAGCTAAAAACTGGCTACAGTGGTAACACTGTGAATAACTGTTTATAATGCATTGGCACAGTTCATAAGGAACAATGTTGTTAAAATTTAGATTATTATTTATCCACTTAACAATTAATGTTATTAAAATTTAGATTATTATTTATCTATTTAACATTATTTTCCATCCTCATCATTCCATCTCATTTCCATCCTTCATTGTTTAGATTTACCTATAATATACTACCTACCCTATCTTGTTAAACGCCGTACCAAAATTCCGTTTATTTTTCTTTTTATTCCGCGATTTCCTTTCCCCGTTTTCAAATTCCCGTTTACACATGCGTGTCGTGCATCGCATCGCTATTCGCATCGCCTATCTCACGAATGTGAGAACGCGCCATTATTACGAAAATGGTATGGATAAATGCCATGAAATACCAAGAGTTCATATTTACCATTGATTGTAGTCTGTATGCTTTCTCTCAAAAAAAGTACACCTTTAAAAAAAACTCGTGTCCTTTGACTCGTGCTCGAAATACCGATCACGACGCGATCGCACGAGTGGCGATGCGAGACGCGACGCGAATAGCGAAGTGACCGTTTACACATGCGTGTCGTGCATCGCATCACTATTCGTATCGCGCGAACGTGTGAACGCGTTTCAACCACTCGTATAGCCAGTACGTACGATAGTGTAAACGCGATGTCGCACGAATGTGAGAACGCGGCAAAGATGATTTTATTTAGCGTTGGCAACTTGTTAGACAAGGATAGACCATTACTTCGAGCTATCTCACGTGACTCGGTTTTTTACTTTTACCTAAAATAAACCTTAACATAACCCAATAAGGTGTAAATTTGTAATATTGGTATATCCAAATGTGCGATCCAGTTTGTGAAATGTAATATTATAATTGTGGTTTGTGATAATAATCATTCGTGCATCGTGCTTATGTTCTGTCATGGTTCTGTCCACAGACTACCTACGTTCTGTCATTGTACCGTGTTCGTTCTGTGCTGAGCCGAGTCAGCCGAGTTGAGCCGAGTGCTGTGTGGTTCCTAGTGGTTCTGTGCAGTGTAGTCAGTAAAACGTAGTGGTTATATGCTCAGTGGTAGTCAGTATAGATTTGTTCTGTGTTTCTGTGATATAGATGGTTGAGAAGTAATTGTGCATGAATAAATTGTAAATTATTGCCGTATTGGTACCTATTCAGATTTTGTCTGAACATAAAAATAATGGTTAAATCTTAATAAATAATAAAATGCGTGTTTCGCATGGCATGGCCATGGTATGGTGGTGTGCGTTTAAAATTATTTGATTATATAGTTTTGGGTTGATTTAGTACAAACAAAACACGTGATTTGTTAACTACCTGAAGGTGTAGTCTGTTAATAGATTAATGTAGGCGGTATTTAAAATGTGGACATGTAAATAAAAACATGGATTCAAAATACACATCTGTGGGGTTAGAAAAATCAAACTCCAATTTGAAAAGAAAAAATATTTTCGATAACTTGAAAGTAAAGAAAGCAAAGCTGACGAAAGATGGAGAAGGTGTCCCGCCCACATCTGCAGGTAATGGACTTGTGGCAGTGCAGAATCTTGTGCAGAATAATGTACATAGAATTGGTCAGAAAGAAGACCTACTGGAGGCCAGGAGACGACTACCAGTTTACTTAGTCAGGGGGAGGTAAGAGTTGTATTTTTCATTAATTTTGTAATACCTTTGTTTGCAATTGTTATGTATACAACTTAATGAACATACATTTAGTGTCCCTTCAATACAATCTTTGATTTTTTTAAATTATAGGTTACTAGAAGAAATAAAAAAGACAGACACAATGATACTAATAGGAGAAACAGGCAGTGGGAAGACCACTCAGATCCCTCAGCTGATCCATGAGCAGCGGCTGGAAGGGGCCGGTATCATTGCTGTCACACAGCCTCGGAGGGTTGCTGCCATTACTATAGCTCTTAGAGTCTCTGCTGAGATGAACACAGATGTTGGAAATATTGTTGGGTATATAATGCGATAATTTTTTTACATAAAAATAAAAAAGAATTAAAGTTTATTTCACAGATTGTTAGCAACAATTTTATAATTACTACAGTGCCCGTATTAGGCAAGCTTGTATTGTGGGGTCTCAGATGGCCAATTTACTTATAAATACTTGTAAATATGTCTTTAGTGTGTGAATTATAAATATGTATAAAACATTTGTAATACTGGTTTATGAAATCATGCATTTCTTCTCTATATGTATGAACAAACATTATAACTTTTTACGGCAAAAGTGAATATGCATTATTGAGGTGTGAATGCTACATTGTAGACCTCATCATCACTCGCACAGGTGAGATGGAGGTCAAATGCGCACTTATTTTTATAACAAAGAAATATTATATTTAAAGTGAACTAACTTGTTTTGTTGTTGCAAGAATGGATCAACTTAGATTTGTGTGTGATTTAGTAACAATTGTCTATTTTATTACTTAGGACAGACTTGACCTTGATTTTCTGATTCCAGGTATTCCGTAAGATTTGAAGATGTGACCAGTTCTCGCACAAAAGTAAAGTATTTAACAGATGGCATGTTGCTTAGAGAGGCAATAGTTGACCCATTGTTGAAAAAGTACTCAATAGTCATACTGGATGAGGCCCATGAGCGCACTGTTAGCACAGACGTTTTGTTTGGAATTGTCAAGTTAGCTCAGAAAGAGAGAATTGAAAAAAAATTAACCCCTATGAAGGTAAGCTTTCCAAGCTATTTTCATTCATTCATGCATTGTGTGAGAGTAAAGCATGATATTATGGGTACAACCCCCTCTGTTATTACGTATTTTCAACAGTTGGTAAATGTTACTAAATATCTATTCTACTAAATTGTTTCATTCTGTGTGGGATTTCAGCCACTTTCTTTATGTCTTTGCAAATGAACTAAAAACAATTTGAAAAATCGTATTGTTTTCTTACAGATAATAGTAATGTCTGCAACAATGGATGTGGATTCTTTTAGAAAGTACTTCAACAACTGTCCTGTAGTGTATTTAGAAGGCAGAACTTTCCCTGTCACTATTTACCACTCGAAAAAGAAGCATGAGGACTACCAATATGCAGCAATTTGTACAATATTCCAACTGCATGCTACTACTCCACCAAAGTATTTTAATGTACCTTAAAATGTATATTATTTATGAGGATGATCTTCTGTAAATCAACACTTTTGTTTTCAGCCAAGACTTCCTCGTGTTTTTAACAGGACAAGAAGAAATTGAGACAGTTATGTACAACATAAAACAAATAGCTAAGGTATGTATGTTCTCAGACAACATGTATATGTACAATATTGAATGGTTTTATACTTTGCCAGTTCAAAAGAATTATCTTTGTATTTGTCTTTATGACAGACTGACAATTACAGGAGGCGCCTGGGCCGCCGATCAAAGTGTGTCCCTTGTACGCTGGCCTGCCTGCCGCGAAACAGTTACAAGTTTGGAAGGAGACACCGCAGGGGTCAAGGAAGATTGTCCTAGCTACCAACATAGCTGAGGCATCTGTAACAATTCCTCAGATAAAATGTGTTATTGATACAGGAGTAGTAAAAGAAAGGTAAGTGTGTGTCTAGAGATGTTGCTAAAAATGTGTTATTATATTAGTGCAAACGGCAGCCGCTCTTTTGATTTGTATGCATTCACTTCCTGTCGACGCTGACCTAATATTTTATGCTTGATTAGTAATAATAAGTAACCCATAATGCTTCTTTCACTTCTTAAGTGGTTTGTCGTAAACAGTGCCGTTGGAAAATAAAATTTGGCGCATTAGGACATATTTTCATAGTTGGCGAACATGAAACCAAATACTGTCATAATTCGAAAATGATGGCATTGATTGACTTTCAAATTATTATTTCTCATTTCCATAATTTTTGAGTTATGACACTATATGGTTTCACGTGCGAATGTTCTAAACTCTGAGTTGTAGTCGAAGTCAAAAAATGTAAACAAACAACTGTCACTGTCAAAGTGGCATCTCATAGACCATAAACCTTTTTTTCCACGTTTGTTTATTAACAGGTTCCACTGTATTCTGACTAATAAATTATAATTAAATAATACCCTTTTGGGTTGAACAATTTACAAAACTGTTTAGAAACATTTTGTGTCATAAATGTAGTCGGCTTTTTGTCTGTGGTGAAACAGTGTGTTTTTGATGAAGGACTTGGTTCAGCCTCCATTGTAGTTATGTTGACACGAACGCAAGCGAACACAAACGTAACAACAGAGTAAAACCAAAACTTAACAAAAAAAAAACACATAACAATAAAAAACAAAAACTCAACAACACGACGCATACACATACAGCAACAGCAAGGAACACATTCGATAACGACAGCCGTCAGAAACCGAATGAAGAAAATCGCGGTGTTGCACTGGTGGGGATGCAACCTGACGACTTGACCATTCCTTTTTCATTCATCCCTTTTTGATTCGTCTCTATCGACCAAAAACTGACTTTTCATTTTTCAGTTCATTATAATTAGCACTATGTAACAATTATCCAATTTATTATTCTCAATAAAAAAACATTTCATTTAATAAATTATTAAAGTAATAGTATTGTAGCAATTAATTATTCACACTTCTACTTATAAGTATTTGTGTTTATACATAACAAATTAAAATAAAACATCGAATAAACACTAAGGACAGCCAAAGGTTGTTTATCCCTGAAACATTTCCAACAGGATAAAAAATCTTATCTTATTAAATATGGTGTTTTAAATAAAAAATATGATTTGATAATATTTTGTTTGTAAATGCACACCATTTAAAAACAATATAAAACATCTAGCATTCATTTTGAGCCCTTTTCACGGTTCCACTATTTGTGGAACATTTTTTGTAATGGCATCACCTTTGTTTACATTTTTTGACTTAGATTCATCTCGGAGTTTAGAAGACATGATGATGATTTTAGAACATGGTGCACTGCAACGGGAGCCGAGCGCTTGCGCGTGTGCCCGTGCGCTGCGGCGGCGGCATGGCAGCGTGCCGGCCGCGCGGGCCGCACTGCACCCGGCGCCTGCTATCGCCTTTTCACCGCTGCTGACTTTGCAGCGCGGCCGCCACACAGCACGCCCGAGATTGTTAGGTAGACCAGAAGTTGGTTGAAGTTTACTCCGACACTCTCAGTGGAGAAGGTCTCGGTTTCGATTCTCGGTATAACCAATTTGGGGTAAATGAACTATTCGACATTATTTTTGAAGTTTTCTGGGTAGTACCCCAAAGTTAGTTCTGTTGCTCTGGTACTCATAATAAAGGAAACTCTCTAGTTTGAGACCAGGTAATTGGTGTCGGTGTACATTATTGTTATAAAATTTGAATGGTAGATGTACTTTAATATACTTAACTAAACCACACGCAAAATAGGCGCTTTGTCGTCGAGTTGCGGACACCAGCCCGTTGTACCAAGTACTTAACTAAACAAATTAATGCAATCATACAAAATTTTGTATGCCGTGAGTAATGTAGAATGTGAGTTCCACAGGTTTATTTGAGCTTTCAAACACCATTTATAAATAAATTTTTAGAGCTCCTTGTGAAAAAGTTTGTCCAGAGAAGTACTGCCACATTACCTATTTCTGTCGTCATCGAAGGGTGAGGGTGGTAGTGAAATTACAGGCACATTAAACTTATTTATTTATTTGAATTTAAGAAAAGGGGGGTACAATATATTTAAATAAGCATAGTCCTACAAAACTGTATATACAGTTTGACTGCAGGATCGGAATGAATCTCAATTAAGCAAAAAGTTACAAACTGACACTGATGTTATTAAAAATACTTAAACAATATGATTATTAACTATTCAACAATAATTTGTGAAATAATGCTTTTTCCACATTTTTTAAATTTACATTTTTTAGTTTCATGTCTAATAACTTCTGGTAAGCTGTTTAATATGTATGGAATACGTTTCTTTAAGGTCCTTGTAAGGTACTTGTCAACTGATGTCTCAGGGTGGCGGACTCAGTGGCAGTGCCCCTCAGACCTTTGCGATTTAAAGCTCTGAGTGGCACTGCAACTGTTATGGGTATCATAAAACAAAATTCTTTTGCACTTCAAGGTGTCCGTTAGCGCCGACGGTATTGCTTTTGATAGCCGCTGGGATGGAGCCTAGCACGTTCCCTCTTTTGGATTCACCACCGCAAGATTCCATAAAGGCATCGCTTCTTCTACTTAAAGAATTAGGTGAATATCGAGTTTTTTGGTTTTTGCAATTCGACTGTGAACTAGCAATCGGTACTATCTCAATTTTGTCAATTTTACAGGATGCAGAAAAACATTGTTTGCGGCATTTATATAGCATCTGGTTTATTAAATAAAAATACGTAGTTTTTAAATATTTTTATTACACATGTATGTATGTACACTACGTATTTTTATTTAATAAACCAAACGCTTTATAAATGATTCATTCTGTAAAGTTGTCAAAATTGAGATAGTACCGGTTGCCAGTTCACAGTCGAATTGCTGTGAACGACCAAGGGCTCTGCAAAGGACCTGACACGTTTATTTGAAAAAAAAAAAAAAAAACTAATATACGCAATGTAAATCCGAAATGATAGTGTAAATTCCAATGAATTAGGTTAGTTATTATGTTATATTGTTTGAAACATTTAATATGATTGTAAGTTCAAATATCTTTATTTCATAGATTAGCAAATTATCCAAGAAAGCAACAATTAGATGCAGTACAAGTAATTTATATATAATGATATATGCATAAAAACGATTTACAAAATTTATAAAATAGTAGTCTCATAGGCTACCATTTTGACTACAGTCGTCATTAAAGTTGCCACAAATTACAACTAATTTATTCATGTTATTTAACTTGCCTATAGTCCATTTGTTTAGGTACTTAACTAAATGTAAACAAACTTGAAATGTCTATTTAATAATTAAATATACATTTATAAAATGGTTTTTACTTACCTTCAGATACAAAATACAACTACTAAGTTTCATATGAAATTGCATGCCTATGTTTATACCTGTTGATCTGTAAAGCATATGTTTCAATAAAACGATATATTAAGATTGTTTACATTTAGTTAAGTACCTAAACAAATGAACTATAATACTTTGATTAGCCATTTTTCAATTAATTCATAATGGCTGTTTTATACATATTGTGTTTTACAGGTGCCATTGATAGTGAAGCAAATCCAAAGTTAACAATACTTGGGAAGAAAATGTCATCGTTCCCGATCGATCCTAAATACTCAAAAATCTTACTTATTGCACCAGAATACAATTGTTTAGACGAGGTAAAATATTAATTTATTGTAAATTATCAATACATTTATACACATTACTATGTATTTGAATGTAATAGTTTTTTTAACATGTCTGCGATTGTATCTATAGTTATATCCAATTTTTAAATAATAATAACAACGCACACACTCAACATAGCCCCGCACTAGGGAAACCCTGTGTCGCGGGTGCCATGGACACATACATAGACAAACACAAATTACACCCAAACTCACGAGAGAAATAAATGTAGGCCATACAAATATTTCTCCCGGCCCGGGAATCGAACCCAGGACCTCTGCGTGTCAGTCCGGCATGGTAACCGTTCGGCCACGGAGGCAGTTGCAAATATAACGTAGTGATGCCGAAAACAGTGAATTTATAAAACCGACGACCTCTGTGACCGAACGGCTTCCACTATGGGCACTGGATGCAGAGGTCCCGGTTTCGATTCCCCATAGGACCAATTTGGGAAATTAACTTTTCTAAATTGCTTCTTGTCTGAGTGTTTCGTTGCTCTGGTACCCATAGTACAGGGAATCGGAAATCGGAATGTGTCAGGAGACCACACATAATTATTATATTTTAATTCACAGGCTTTAAGTTTAGTAGCGGTACTATCAAGCGAGAACATATTCCACACTCCCATGCATAAAAGAGAAGAAGCAATCAAAGTGAAACAGAAGTTCGTGTCGCCTTTAGGGGATCATCTCACCCTTTTAAATGTGTTCAAGGCATTTTGCAAGGCACCTTTGAAAAAGGTAAGAATAAAATATTAAGATTAGCTGAAAATGGTATACATAAAACTGAAAAACGTAATCAGTGCATTCGAATCCATTTTCATTATAAAAACAACAAAATAAAATCGTCAGGCTATATTTCATGTATACTTCATTATAATGGATTTTCATTGAGTATTGCTATTTCGTTGATAAATTAAAGGACGGTGGACCGATCATATCAAAAATGTATTAAAATGCTGTGACTGCTAAAGTTTTAATAATTATAAATCAGGAATGGTTTAAGCACAAGTTTCATTTGCACACTTTTACATCAGCAAATGAAAGAGAAATTAGGAAAATACAAATTAGTTGATAAAAATTAGTATAATTATACTTGTATGCATACAAAACACTAGTTAGGTTTAAAGTGTCGCAATCACGTCATTTAACAATTCCGTTATAATTACAGCAATGGTGTAAAGAGAATTACATGAACCACAAGAACTTGACGTACGCTTATGAGGTGCGTCAGCAGTTACTGGCTATATGTCAGCGATTGAATTTAACAGTCTCCAGTTGTGGCGTGGCAACAGATCAGGTAAATATTAAATGACAAGCATATTTCGTTATCTCGGTTGTTTGAATAAAAATCACAATTATTTAATGAGTAGGTATCAATGATAACCGATGCTATAATCTATACTAATATTATAAATGCGAAAGTAACTGCCTGTTACGTTTTCACGCCTAAGCAGCTGAGGCAATTTTTTTTTTAGTTTTTCAGGCCATGACCCACATAATATATATACAATTTGATATAACAATAAAATAAACTAAATAACTAATCCACACGAATTGCACTTGCCAGCGACGTGTGGCGTAATCTGGTGTCAGTTTTGGCCGCGGAATCGCCGATAATTAATACCCTTCGACCAAAACTCCTTCATGAAGGTCGACAGATGTTCAGTCGGTACACTTACCACCAGAGGCGGCTCGTCCTAAGGAGCGCATACAGTGAACTCCTACTCCTATCCAACCCACCAAAATAAAAATATAAATTAATATTGTGTTAGTAATCGCAGTATTTATTTTTTTATTAACACGTTCGTTCGCCGACTAGAATTTTTAAAAACGTTCAAAATATGACATTGCCTTATATGACTGTTTTGGGTCTGATTTGTATACGTATATACATTTTTCCGCGATGTTTCATTATTTGGCTCTAGTTTGGGATTATATTAGTATAATAGTGCCGGCATTTTAATTCGGCCTGAACGCAATAATCATTACATTTAGGCCGCGCCGGTCGCAATGCCGGGCAGAGTATGTACACTTAATGTTTGAACGATGTTTACCTAAAACTGACGTACGTCTTTCAATGGAGATTAACATTTCACATTAAGCCTTTTTTTGCTTAGTTTGTAACCTTTAAATCCAATTTGAAATTAAAGTAAATTTTTTTGATTCGAATATATACTTTTTCCTCTTAGTCTAGAAAAGTATGTATGCCATCAAAAATCATAAAAACCAAGTGACAACAGCAGGTCATCAGGGCGACGCCGGTCATGTTATATGGCTAAATACGTAGTGTTTTGTCACCTGCTGCGGCGTGAACGAGCATCGCAAAGATAAGTCGAGTACTCACTAGCGAGCTGTAACCGTAACGGTTGCATGTTATGTAACGAAAAATCATAGTGTGTACGTGGTTCATGAGCTTGCCGCGGGCGGAACGCGTGCGGTTTGCAGTGAGCCATCTGATTGAAGACTGTTTCAAGCGTACAGACTGAAACGTCGTTACTGTATATGTCACGTTACAGCTACAGCTTGTTAATGACTACCCGGATTTAGGAGCGCCGTGCCGTTCATTTTAACCCCCCCACGGTCTCAATAGGTAGATGAGATGCCGGTTATTTTGATCCACCACGGCGATGAACGTGTTAATGAACGACAACGATCAATTAGATTTTTATCTTTCTCTATTATAGTAGCATTACTAACCCTTGAGTGGAGCGCTGGGCGATGCGCTCCTATGAACCGAAATTGTTTACAAAGTTCAGTACTGAATTCAATGAGTGCGAAAGAGAAATTTCTTTACGGCGCGTCATGTGAAACAAAATATTAGGTGAGAAAATTAGCAAGATTTGAGCGGCGTTTCGCGCAACGTTGCCGTGCTGTGCGTGTCCGGTGATGCGACGATTAGCCGATTCTGCACTCCGCCTCCGTTCGCTGTTGCCAGTTTTATTTGTCAAATAGGTAAACAAATCGTACTTTCTCCGCGCGCATTTTGTTGTGTTGTACACAATGATATTATGTAAAAATCAATATTATTAAATGATGAAGCGTAGTATTGATTAGTGGCATTGTTTAAAATGGAACAATGTAATGTAAGTTTAATTTTTAATTTAAAATACATATAGGTAAGTGAACTCCCATTGAAATCTGCCACGAGCCGCCTCTGCTTACCACAAACGAATTAAAATTCACGTTGCGGCGGGACTCCAACCGCTCGACTCTCAGGGTGTATTTGGCTTTTAGGCTGATGTACGCCACTATCTCCTCAGACTTCGTGGAGTAATGTAGTCGCGACAAATACAGCAGCGTCGTCGGTATGGCCGGACGCAACAGAAAGTTCGATGCTGTCGGTGCTGTGCCACACAGGTTTCGGCTGGTGGGCTTCCTCTTCCTCTTCACAATCTTTGTGAAGCCATCGTGGCGCTAACTGCAACCGTGCTTTTTGGTCAACGCAGTATAATATTTACAAGCCAGTTCTTGGTAAAATTCACTAACACTTTATTTGTTTCTAGCAAATAATAATTAATGTATTCTTAAATATCCCTTGACAGGCAATAAAACATTTGTGTAAATGATTGCTTTTGTTTAATTTTGTTCATACTTGTTCATTTTTTGTCGCAGCTCCTGAAATGTCTATTAAGCGGTTTATTCACCAACTGCGCGTGGTTACGCGGCGGATCGGCAGCGTCAAGTGGAGGTCGCTACGTCACAGCATCAGGCTCAGCTGCAGCCTTACATCCCGGCGGAGTCCTACATTCAATACGACCACCTCCTTCAGCCGTTTTATACACGGAACTATTGCAAACAAGACGTATCTACCTCGTTACAGTGTCAGTAGTTCAACCTCAGTGGCTTCATCAAGTCGCACCTGATTACGCACGGCGGTGTAGAGCTAATCGGTGACGTAAGAAGTTTCGATTCCGTAATTCGTATAGATGATATTTAATATTATGATGATTTTTCTTTATTATGGACAAATTTTTTAACGGACTGTGTACTTGAAATCGAGGCGCGGGTACGGATTGCGAAAGAAGTAGACTAAGATTGTATGTAGAATTATTTCCGTCTACAATAGGACAAATGTAAGGCAAATTATATTTGAATGTTAGGATTATTTGACTGCCTCGAGTGGAGCGTTGACAGTGAAGATAAAAACTGCCATTTTTTTAGATAGGAACACAGAACAGTTAAGATGATAGAAATGATAAGTAAGCTGCATAGCACATTGGTCTCAACTTACAGGCATTATCTTGCTATCATTCGTCTTTAGTTGCTGAAAAGACATCAATTACGCTCAACTTTCCATAGTTATGCTATTTATCATTCATTTAAATTGTTAAAATACATTCTAGTGGTTTGTAGCATGAAAAATGAAGGCACAAGCTAGAATGTTCAATAAATCGCATGTTACATATACATTCATTACATATTTTATGAGAAAATTATTAAAATACGTGATTATACGATTTCTCCTAAGTTAAACAGAGAAAATCCACCTTGTTTGTTTACTCAGAAGTTCAATGTCCTTTGTTTAAAAGTTTTGAGACATTTAGACTGTTGTTATCAATTATACGGTACTCTTAGAAATATGACAGATTTTCCAACATGTATATTTTGTTGATTCTTTGTTTTTCATTTCCACTTTGAAAAATGAGTAATTGAGTGTCGGTGTGAGGCTTATCCCGTTGCGCCCTACATTGCGACTGTTGGACGGCCTGCCGCTTGAATGCCGCGATGAAGTTTTAATAGCATTTTACAATTTGTTTTTGCGTTGCTAGCAAATTGGTACAAGAACAGGAAATACATATCGATTTATACAAATATGCACACTCTACTATTGGAAAAATAAGTGTAGTGTGAATAATAATTAGATGTTCAAAATGTGAATAAAGATTACAACCGAGCAAAAAAATGCTTTTTAAATGGTAGTTGCCTATTTCTGCCCCCGTAGTATGGCTACGCATGTTAGTCGCGACACGCGCGATAAAATTGGAATAAGCGCGTACTATCATGCGTCGCCATGCTACGGGGGTAGGCCATAATACGTTCAGAAATTCTTTTTATCTGTAATCTGTTAAAACTTATAATAGAACAGTTCACATTTTGTAATAGTATGTTTTTACTTAATTTCGTTTAATACAATGATTATAATAAACGGTTTTGTTTAAAGTCGTAAATAATTTTATGACACTACTGGTATCATAATCGGGATCTAAAATATTTTTGTACCGCCATTTTGTCAAAATCAAAATAATCTTTATTTCATAAGTAAGCATTATTACGTCTTGAAATCGTCACATTGCTTAAACTCTACCGCTCATTCGTGAGGCAGATTCCCCTGAGCAGAATGAGCAAGAAACTCTAGGAGTTGCTCTTTGTAAATAACATTAAATGTTGTACACATTCAATATTTACAATATATTTTTTTTTGTTTTGATGTTTGCATCAGAGATCGAGACTACGTCCATGGACTAAACGGGTTACTACCACGGATTTTTGTCATCCAGTACGCAGAAGTTGTGTAATAACCTTTGTTTGATGACAAAAACTTTAGTTTTTGTTTCATTATAGTTCACTATATAGTTTTAAACCTCGTGAATAGCAAATTTTGTGTATCAACTGGAATCTTGTTACAGAAGCGTATACATTGCCCCTTAAACGAATTTGTGACTTTGTGAAGACAACTATCATGAACAGTTAGGTCATTTTTATTCCTCGTATTAATGTTATATCTGTCACTATTTCTCATAAAAAAATTACTATTCTTTTTAACATAAATTACATTTTCATAAATGTACTGTGACGCTAGTGTTAGAATGTTAATTTCCTTAAACTTATCTCTCAAAGATACTCTGGGGCCCAGATTGTAAATTGCCCTAACCGCACTTTTCTGCAGGACAAAGATTCTATTGATATCGGCGCCATTATCCCAAGGCAACATGCCTTATGTCATTAGACTGTGAAGGTAGCTGAAGTAAACTAATCTAGCGGTTTCGACGTCTGAGAATTTCCGTATTTTTTTAATCGCGTACACTGAAGAGCTGAGCCCTTTTGATAACTTACTTCTATGTTCCCCCTATGGACCCCTTTGCAATTTATCATCTAACGTTATACTTAGAACTACAACTGTTTCCATAAGGTTAAATTTTTCGTTTCTAACCACAATGTTTGTAACCGTCTCTCTAACATTAGGTAATGTAAATTTCACACAATTTGTTTTTTTCTCATTAAGGAGCAGGTTATTAACTGCAAACCAATCAACTACTTTAGATACAGCATTGTTCACATCGTCGTAGGAACATTGGTGCCTTTTCATTTTAAATAATAAGGAAGTATCATCAGCAAACAATATTCTATATCTCATGTTTATACCCTCCATGAGGCTAGGTAAGTCATTAATATAAACTAAAAAGAAAAAGGGGCCTAGAATTCAACCTTGAGAAACACGCATGCCGTCGACATCGACCCTCTGTACCCTATACCATTCAAATATGATTTAAGAAGATCGATGTCACGTCCCGCCACACCATAATGGCGAAGTTTCCTGACCTGAGTATCATGGTGCACATAATCAAAAGCATTGGAAAAGTCACAGAATACACCAATAGCATCAAGTGAGTCTTCCCATGCATCAAAAATATGTTTCATCAATTCAACACCAGTATCGGTTGTAGAGCGACCCCGAGTGAAACCAAATTGTTTAGGAGACATTAAGTTATTACTAACTATTAAGTTATTAATAACTATTTTATAGTTATTACTATAAAAATGTGCACACATCTGATTTAGAATCTGAATCTGAATGTCGAGTCATAGATGTCATTCGTGCTTCGTTTTCGAACGTTTTCTTGTCTCCGTAGTACGTTTGTTAAATTATTACGTGTTGTTGTTGTTTAAGTTTTTTTTATTGTTAATATTTTCTAAAAGATAATTTTAAAACATTAGAAAATGAGAACCTCCACCTTTACCAATTCCATTAAAAATAGAAGGTTTAGCACACCTGCACTCACACTTTGACAATGACATTTCTTTGGTTACATTTTGGACATCTAATTAAAAATCATTGATCGCGAGATTTATATGTGGTATTTTATTACATAGTTTTACGGTTAAATGTGAAATCTTGGTTAGGTTAATAAAAACAACCACCTTTTGGAGCCGGGTTTTAAATGACTGACTAGTAGATGCCAAACTTGAAATTCAGGAGTCTTAGCGTACGTACCACTGTAATTGTTTCGTCTCGTACTTTCATAAAAATCAACATGATCCGGAAATGCTAATTGCCAAGGTGACACCGTCGGGCCAATAAACATTGAAACATTTTACGGACCATTTGGAAATGGGACTTGTTAGAAAAAAGTGCTAAAAGTTAAATAATGATGGAACAAAATCAACTCAGTTGGGATTATTATATAGTTAATTTTTAATCGGTTTTATAGTTAGTAATTAATAATAGTAACGCACACGCACACACTCAACATAATGTTTATATATACAAGTTATCAGCAGTCAGGCGACCGTTTTTTTAGTATTACTACAAATATGTAAATTGATTTTTGCAACAATAGTTTCTATACCATTTGTACTCCCAAAAATAAGTTTTACGATTACGATTTTCAAATTTATTGTATGTCAAGATGTTTGACCACAGTGATATTCAATTATTTTTGTAAAGCAATTTCACAAAAATAATTGAATTGGTCAAATATCGTGTCATTCAATAAATTTAAAAATTACGATTATTAAAGCAACATCTCTAGTCAGCCAGGTGGCTGAGTGAAGAAATAGATTGCTCATAGATGACGCTACGACAATAAAGTCGTTAAAAATCTAAAAGAAAGTGTAGTGTAGTGTAGTTGGTATAGCGTCTAGCACGGTTTGCTGACGACTTTTTGGTTCCAATCCAGCCGGATCGAAGGAATTTTTTCGATTTTTGTATCAATAATTATAACGAGCTAGTGGAATAATTTCACAAAATGTTCTTCCGAATTATGTGACTATCATGAACCAATAATTAAAATGAAATAAAATATTTTGTGTTAATTTTCTATATTTTTTTAATTTAAAGAGTGATGTATGTCTGTGGCTGGCTTGTTTTAGACCCTACATTAATGTATTTCAACTCGGAATTCAGTAAAATGTTAGTATAGTAATTTTCTCATTTCTATTTTGATCACTGCTTAGTCATACCAAGGGTTAATTGGTTTCGATTTAGTGTCTTTACAAAATAATACATGGTATCTTAATATTACTGCATGCATTGGTTTTTGGTCGTGATAATGGAATTACTAATAATTAAATATTAGGGTCTTGGACGGAAGACTAAGAAAAATGTGATACCTGCTGATAAAGACATTTTGGGGACGGAATAACCCTTGTACTGAATTATTATATACCTGATACACTGTCCAGTTATTTCTATCTATATTACACATTTAGTACAATTTAATTCGAATTCGATTATCATTACATTATTTTTTATCATAAAAAAGTTATCTAAATTATTAACACATAATAAATACATTGGAGAACTTGGCTAGCTAATTTAGTTGTAATTTAGCTAACTGCATACATATCGTTAATGCACGTGATTTTACATACATATTTCAAAAGTTATAGTTGGTTACTCTAATACGACCACGAATTACTTTCATTGGCACAAATTAGGGGTCTTTAAAGGTCTGTCTTAAGGCAAATTGAATTATTTTAGGAATGTAAATTTTCAGCTAATTCTTGCTTTTACTTTCAAACTTTAGCCAAACTCTAACATGTAAATAAACTAATTTGTTTATGGTAAAAAAACCTTTTTTTTAAATTATATATTCCATAATGCCCCATGCCCATGCCCTATTGATCGCACATCCACTGATAGAAATGATTACACGTGTCTACGTGAATAACGATTTGGTTCATACATAAGGGAATGTATACATATAACTGTAACTTGTATACATGGAACTTCATATATTATGTGCTATAAATAAATAAGCTCCGGTATCAATGCCCTGTTTCGCCGTGACGAGGGTCAGGGTAGTAAAAATATCTGATAATCCTTCCATTTTTCTTTGTACGTAGTTCATTATCTTACGAGATTTTGTTACCAATTAACAACGAGTTGCAGAAAAGATTATAAATTTTGTGCGTCATTACATTACCCATAATATTGTCCCTGACTTTATCAAAGTAAATAATGGAGCATTATAAATAATGGGCGTAATGCAATTAGGAGGAAGTCATATTAAGTATTTGAACAATTTATGTAGTTGGATTATTTTGCCTGGAGATCTATAACACAGGATATCTCAGTTTAGGATTCAGTCTTTACAGATAACAAAAATATTTTACAACATAATGTTATAATATTGTCATAGAGTTGTGTGTGAAGGAAATTAACTTTATTATTATTATTTTCAATATTAAAGCAAAAAATGTGAGGTAACAAATAATAGTATAATATACAGTACAAAATCATGTGTTTCTTTCTATAGTGTACGCAAGAAAATAATACAAGTAATAAATAAGTTTTTAAACAAGTAATGATTTAAACTCTTTAGCGGAGACCCGCGCCTAGTAGCGGGATGTATATAGTTTAACAAAGACGATGAATACCTCAGATTAATAACTAATTCATCTTCACCATCATCAAACTAATCTTAAAGTTCAAAACTATTATAGGGACTTAGCACTAGTTTATTTGACACGTATCGTGTATGTAATGACTGTTATAATTGTTACATGTAAGTAGTATAATAGTTACTTTATGCTGTTATTCTGTTTATGATGCGGTGCTAAATAAATTTGTACGATAAATGTGACTATTGTTTTAGTATAGTTTATTTCGTTAAAAAGGCACATTTGTGCTTTAAGAACTGTCTTAAGAATTATCGTATACGGAAATGCGGCTATTTTATGAATAAAATTCTTTATACAATATTTCATGAGCATTTTTTAAACCATATCTTTTGTTTTTAATGTAGTTACTGAAAAAGTTTTACTTTCGCCCTAGTGCAAAATTTCTTTTATTTCTCCATACTCAATTTAAAAGTTTGCTAGCAAGGAGTTTCATTTTGAAATAAATTATGAATACTTTAATTATGTGCCTGCCCTGTTCCAGCGTCACCATAATCGAGTTATAAAATTTGACGTTGGGTAAAAACTCGTGAATTATTCTCCGATATCTTTTGGATAAAGGAGCGAATATATAATTCCAGAACTTTATGCGTGCAATCAAATTAATACTTAGATCTGATTGTACTTTAAAAAAGGCATGAATTTGTTCCTGTAATTAAAAGCTAGATTTCGTCGTTCCAAGTTCCAAG